CATGTACTCCCTATGTACTCCCCATGTACTCCCTATGTACTCCCCATGTACTCCCTATGTACTCCCCATGTACTCCCTATGTACTCCCCATGTACTTCCTATGTACTCCCCATGTACTCCCTATGTACTCCCCATGTACTCCCTATGTACTCCCCATGTACTCCTGCATTTAAAGTCCCTGGTATCTTTAAATGATCCATAGGGAGCATCAGTTATGGCACTACGGCTATGCGGGTTCAGATCACAGGGCCCTCATTGCTGAGGACCCGAGCGTCTGGACCAGGCCAAGGGGACGCCCACGTAACACCTGGCTATGGCAGATATATGGGCACTTCTGGAGGGTGGGATTGAACCACGTATCGGCCTGAGGGGGGTCGCCAGCCGGGACCCCGGGGTGTTTCGTCGTGTGGTGGGCGTAGCAACGTGCTATACCAGTGCTTGCTGCCCGACCTGACCGGACTTATGATTTTGTGCGTAAGTGCCCTGTGGCACACTGGCATCCAGGCTGTACTCCAGCTATGGACTGCCTGTGGTACGTTCTGGAGCCCCGTGTGACCCTGGCCAGGACACACAGCTGAAAGACAAATGAATAGTTGACAAAAAAAAAAAGCCTATAAACCTGTCTGTCTATTAAATCTGACTCTGCTCATTTTCTCCCCTCAGTTACAATGGGGCTCGTATACTAACTACATTTCTCTGTATTTCCTGTCTCTGTGAACCTGTGTGTTGTGGCCACAAAAGTGGAATTAGGGCAATAAGGCTAATTTGAACAAGTAAGAGTGGATAAACCAGCTCCATTACCCTCTTTCCTTGTAATAGGCAATTTTCTTTTCAGCCATGTTTATTATTACAAACAGCTCACACATAGTCAACTTTGTCTTAGATGTAATACGGATTGCATTGAACATTCCTGTAGTACTGATCAATGGTACACTAGTGTATATCCTGGCCATTTTGTGCAATGAGAAAACCTTATGTAATGTGTCTTGGTCAGTCTACCAGCCTCTGGCTGCTTCCAAGGTCCCAGCTGCATTAATCCAGGTGCCCTGGGGTTTCCTGGGGATGAGATCGCAGTGTCAGGGTCCCCTGCTGCTCTGCTGTATCTTTGTGTTCTGCAGCTTGACATCAATCTTCTGTACCCTTGTCATAGCAGTCAAGATACCTGCTTTATTGAGCCCTATTAGAAATCCAACCTTAAATCAAGAAAACCTAGATTCTAAACTTAGCCACCTTAGTCAGGAGAGTGTCAATGATAATTTCAACAATGCAGAACTTAGGCTGGGAGTGTATGGTGACTGAGGCTCAAGATTTATGGGACCTCCAGTGTAGCAATGGTGGTTGCCCCCTCCCAATCTAAAAGATCCTGTGGTTCATGGTAAATTGTGGGGTATGGGTAAGGCCTGCAGAGGATAGCATCTTCCTAGCTGTTCTCAGGTCATGTGAGGTCAACGCAGCTACGAAACTCAAAAGGTCCACACTGTCTTTCACGGCCCTTCATCTTCTCCTGGTAAGCCTGACTCTTTCAGAGTGTAACACAGATCTCTCTGACATCCATCTACATCTACTAAGCCACAGTGCAGTAATAACTGCTGTGCTCAAGGTCTGATTTATCCTTTAATCTATGTAATGAAGCTCCCAGAGGTAAGACTTTCCTTAATCAGGTTCTGTAGTATGAAGAATAAAGTCATACGAACAAAGAGGGCGACACCCAATCAATATATTTTTCATTGACTAATTGCAAGCTATTTTTTCTTATATGTTTTTTTTTCCATTTTACTTGTATGCTGTATGTAAACAAAATGATTTTCCTGTGAATATAATATCAATGTGCTAAATGCAAATATTTGCACATTATAAATTAAGGTTTAATTCTCATCAATATTGACTATCTGCTTCCAATCTACAATATATTCTTCAGGCCCCCCCCCCCCAAAAAAAAAGAAGGCAAAGGTTACGCAGTTCCATTTAAACAAAGATGAAGCTATTCTCTTATTAAACAATGGCGATTTTTTTTAGATATCTGGAAAAAAAAACAGTGAGAGCACACATACACTTGAACCCAGGAAAGGAAATCACTACAGATAACCATCATGTAATCCTTTTCGTTATAGATTTCTGTGTTTGAGTTACCGCGAGGCTGAATGTTCGGTGGATTTCCTATATTCACTATGCAAATATCCTTTTAGCTTGTACCTTTACCATTTACTCTGTCTGCACTATATCTCTGTAAGGTTGCATATTTTAAAGGAAATAAAAGATGGGCCAAGAAATTGGATGCAGGAATATTTGTACTATATCATTTTATAATTAATATCCTTTGTATCTGCGTCCTTTATATTTTGCAAAGTTTCTTATGATTTTTTAAAAATACATACAGAACAACAATGTGAGGGTCAGTGTTTAATGCTGTTATGAAAAGGCATTAGAAATATGCGACCTTAGATGCATTTGGAAGTTATGTCTATTTATGTGTAACAGTAATACAGTACATAGGCTCTAGTCAATACTAACAAGTACCGACGTCTCGCTCTCTAGCAACTCAGTGTGATTTCGTTTAGACTATAGGATCGTATGTGACTGCAAAAACTTCGGAGCTGATGCAGACAGCCCAAAAGAGCTGCACTGTAGCTTTAACATCCCTTTCTTCTGTCGGTGGCAGACAAACCATATTAAAACATCCCCCTTTAGTTGGCTTTTCGGCTCAGAGGAAGGGGATATTGGTAGTGCCATGAGACGGACGCTCTTCACTGCTTTAGCAGGTGGCGAAACGGGAGTGAAGGCAGTTATATTGTCATTACGCGAACGTTTCTAGCTGACCGGTATATGTTATTGCGTCTTGTGTTTTTTTATGATTAGAGACTGAAACAGAGAGATCGCAGAAAGGCCTTCAGTTTGGGAAATCGGTTGGGAATTACGTTCACCATTGGAGGGGTGCCGGCTCTTTTCGGGGCTTTTCCTGTGACTTAGGAGGAGATCGTGGATGACCCTTCGGTCATAATAAGCGTTTTGTCCAGATTTCACACCGAGGCGTTTTGTGTGTGCTGGGAAAATGAATAAGCGGATATTTGCCCTGGATGATCGAAGGGAAGCCTTTTCTGCAAACCCAGGAGGACAGCTGAAGTCAGAAACGGGGGAGTTCCTGCTGTGCTGAACTGAACATTTTTTTTGTTATCAATATGCCGGAGGACAGGAGGAAGACGTGTTTTTCAGCGCAGGGTAAACTCCGAAACTCAGATTTATGCTGCGCGATGCATAATAAGACGCTTTGAAACGGATGCCGTTTAACAGCGAATGAAAGCGAGTCCAGCTGCTTTAAATGACTTTCGTATTGCACATTAGTAATATTAATAATAAACTGCATGTTTTAGACCTGGTTGACTCTGCATCGTTTGAGTTATGGACCTCCAGCCTTTGGATTTGGCTGTCTGTAAATGACTTGTATGAGACATCAGTCTGGACCCGATTTGGCGTTTATGCAGAAGCTTAATGCTCGCCTGATCCCCGACACACGCACACCTAAACAGCTCACAGAGTTACAGGTTAAAACCTGCAAACTAGTTCTCCTTTCTGGATAAAGTCAATCTTCCTGCGAGTCTGATTAGTTACCCGCAGTGTGTATCTGGCTGTTTCTTCCCACACAGCCCCATCTGGATCCATAACTCTAATGTTATTTTTTTCATGTCCGTTTTTGGGCTTGAGACGTAAGCAGCCATCCGTCCATCCTTGGTTAAAGTAACGGGCTGATCCGTAAGGCGAGTCGCGCCCGCTGGTGCATTTCGGAGGGGAGGTGGAGCGCCGGCCGACTTCCGCGTTGACGCAGTGGGATCTCTACGTCTGGTCAGCGGCTTCCCCCGCCCAGCCCGCGGTGACAGCGATGGGTAGGAAGCGGTGTGTCGGTGCCGATTGCTCCAAGATGGCGGCCGGGTGCTGCGGGGTGAAGAAGCCGAAGCTGTCGGGATCCCCCGGGTCTGGGGGTCCCGGCAGCGCGGGGAGCGGGATGCCCGGGACAGGACACTGCGGAACGGACCTGGGGATCGGCTCCTCCTCCGCCGTGCAGGCGGGGAATGTGAGCCGGCCGAACGGCCTGGGGGGTCCCGGGAGCAGCTGCGGCGGCGGCAGCGTCAACTCGATGTCCCCAACTCCGGGGAGCTACGGTGCAAACGGCCTCTCCCCGAATCTGAGCCCCGGACTCGGCGGGGGACGCAGGATGGTGGTCTCGGCGGAGATGTGCTGCTTCTGCTTCGACGTGCTTTATTGCCATCTGTACGGATACCAGCCACCCCGGACACCCAGGTTTACAAACGACCCGTAGTAAGTATGCTAGCAAGCTAACTACAATATATAATCTCCTCTTTAATAATGTATCTAAGTGTTACCCGGATTGCTAGCCACCTAGCCGCTCAGTTATTCCAAAAGCCGCTTTAAAAATCCTGTCATCCTCGCAATCCCGTTACTTTCACGCACTCTCCTCCCTGACGGTGTCCCATACAAACGAAAGAGCACCATATAACCCCCTCATACAGCGCCTAACATTATAAAAGTTTTTCTTTGATAATGGCTTTCGACCTTTCCTCCCTTCCTACAGGGACCCAACACAGCGGCTGGCTTGTATTTTATAGCCAGAGTATCGGTCTCATTAACGGGGTCGGAAATAAACGCTCCCCCTCCCCTTGAAACTTTGTTGCGCTTCCTTGGGCATCACGATTAAAGCAGCCGTTCAAATATAAGTATATATAGTGTGCAAACCGGAAGAGCTCGCATATTGAATGGCTCCAGCTTAATTAATCAATGCGATCAACTTTCTTTGCGCTTGTATTGGTGTTTATTAAAGGCCGATGCAGCCGGTAGGACAGCTGATCGCAACGTGTCCGCCTGGCAGTGAGATGGGGAACGGCGATGTCTGTTACTACAGGGCATAATATGCGGCTCCTTATTGCAGCCGACGGGTGCTTTACAAGACGGGGAAAATAGCTTTTGTCGCATAGCTGGTGAATGATTGCAGTTGAGGTGACGCGTTTATTTATTTTTTTAAAATAGTGATTTATGGAAGTACAATGCCGGTGGTAGTTTGAGCCCAGTTACAGTACCTCTTACTAGCTGGGAAGCATAATGGTTAAAATCTATGGGTAAATGTTCAGACGTGCAAAGAAGGTAGGAGATTAAACAGGATCTTACTGCTGCCTGATATATTTCAAAATATCCTGCTTGTAATTAAATACGCACGGTTTACATTTACCACCACACTGCCAGTTAAATTATGGGATGATTTTACAGTTGACTTGTAGTTTTTTTTTTTACCTGGTGTCGTTGCATGTATGAGTGAATGTATTTAAGGTAAATGAAGTTTCTTGATTATATTATTTATTGTTATATAGGCATTTATCCAGGGAAGGGAAGATTGACACTTATGTATATTATTATGTATGTCAGCCAGAGGTAATACTGATATTTCCTTACAGTTTGCCTTTGAATATGCTGCGTGTTCGTTGCTTATCAGTCAGACTTTGGTCTGGAGAACCACAAGAGCCTTAAGCTGACATGAAATCTACCAGTGGGCTGAACCTTTATTTATATATAGCTGCTTGCAGAAAGCTAATTTATTAAGAAGCACCACTGAGGTGATTTGCTTAATGGAGTGAATAACCGTTTTATTTAACAAAAAAAAAAACAACCTGTGCCTGTGTTGATAAAAGGAGAACAGACACTCATGTGACAGTACCCTGAAGCTGTCTGTCATTTTGAAATTTTGTAAACCTATTGCTATGTGATGAATAACTTCTTACAAAGCTATTGTGCTTTTGTGAGGCTTTTATAGGGGGCCTCCAGCTCCTGTCCTGGAGAGCCCCAGCCCGGCATATCTTTGGGTCCCTCTCATTTAACCTGCCTGATTCTACTTCTTTGCTAATTACCATCCAATTTCTTCAGTTGAATCAGGTGTGGTGGAACAGGGAGAGAACTAGGCTGTGTAGGGTGGGGGCCCATAGGAGTGGAGCTGGAGACCCCTCCTTTAAAGGAATCCAGAGATGTTGAGATTGAGGACCAAATCCAGATGACTGTGAAATGAGTTTTTATACACAGGCTTTTAATGACAAGAATGGGCAGACTTTATGAGTCTTTACACCAGGTGAAGCCAAAATTGAAACCGGTCCAATTTTTCAGACTCAGTTTTGGCCATTTTTATTTCATTTTAATTTTGCATGATGTCGCACTTCACGCTGAACATTTTACAGTGCAATCTCTATAAAGCACCACATAAAGGGTTAGCTTGGCTGGTTACTGCATTGCTTGTGTATGATATGATTGAAGGCGTGTCAAAGCAGAAAATGCATTTTTCAAAGGGAAAGGAAGAATATGTCTGCAGTTTGAAGAGGGATATGTTATTGATTGAATAAACACCAAGCTGGCTGTGGTCGCTTGTGGTTTGTTGAGAAGATCCTCCTTCTGAATTAAATGCTTTCTTAGCTGATGGACTCGATGGTGGATGTTCTGCTGAGAGGGTGGAAACCATCAGGAATCAGCAGAAGAAATGAAAAGGGTACAGATCCTGAATAACTGAGTGCCTCACTGAAACTAAGTGAATAATCATTTGTGTACCTCATTAGTTATACTCAAACTGCATGACAATGATGCATAAGCCTGTGATATTTTAAATAAATGCTTCAGAACTCGGTGATGTATCAACCCGACTCAGATGCTCCCTGTTCGTTTTGCGCAATCTGTGTGTTGCCTCTGTATGGATTAGTTTCTGAAGGCTGACATCAGTGACATGTCTGTCTTATGACAGACCATTCGATGAGTGTTTATCAATACACATACTTGTGTTCTCACATACATGTCTGTCGTCGTCCTCCCTTGTCAAAGTACAGTTCCAATACTCAAGAACAGAAGTACTGAGGAAGGTAAAATTGCTGGACATCATTCTTGCCCAACCCCAGATATCATGGATGCATCGACTGCATTCTCATCAACGAGAACAATCTCACGATGCATTGTGTCACAAGTTCATTATTGTTAGGCAAGTTAGCAAGAATGGTCTTGGCAAGAATACAAGTATGTTCTTTGTGTTCTTGTTATTGACAAACACCCAATATCCCTAATGCCTATTGATATCCATTAGCATTTGCATTGACCTTGCCTTAATAATTTTTTTTGGGGGGGGGGAGATGCCACTGGTTTTAAGAATGGCTCTGATCTCTGGTTGATTTGAGGACACATTTTATATGGCAAATAGCTTTTCCTGCCAACTGTTAAACGGGGAATGCCGTCCTCTCCTTTTAGCTCGTGTCCTTTTTGTGACTGCCTTCACCGCCCCCCGCCTTCACCCCCCCCCGCCCCCCCACTACTTGTCCACACTGTTACCCTTATTTTGACATCCTCCTTAAAAAAAAAAAAAAAAAAAAGATCTGTTTAGCAGCTGACTCTCAGGAAAACCAAGAGCGTTTGCAGTAAAATTGCGAAGCTTCCATTACGTTCTTGGACTTCGGAAAGGATATGGGTGTTTCTGCCTCGGAGGATTCACTCAGTCAGCTGATAGTCTGGGGATGGTTTATCCAGAGGCTCAAATTCAAAGTAACAGTATAAGAAGATGCCGGAAAATAAACACACCAGGTTTGATTGTAATGCCACCTTCACACTCTTCAGTTTTCTGACACCATTAAGCTACCTCTTAAAAGTAGGACTGTTTGGCTATTTCTGACAAGCCTTTGGGAAAATCCTATGTTAACATTTACCCTTCCAGAAGCAGATGTTGTTCCCATTCAGCTCTGTGCAGAAGAATCTGTCTACCTTTATCTACTTTGTAGACAAAGGAAACAAAATGAATATGATATAGAATGTAATGAAGTGCTTATTTGCTACAGTTATTTGATTGGATTCTGTGTACTGTGTCAACATCGATATGAAATTTAAGGTGAAACTTGCCCTTCTGGACGAAGTCCTTATTGGAATGAAGATGAAATGTTTTATTGCTGGCAGAATTTCAGGAGGTCATTTATGGGGATTTCAGATCTTATTTTTACATTGTGAGGTGGCTGACTGAGTAGCACGCTGCACATCACACCTCCAAGGTTTGGGGTTCAAATCCTTTCCCTGCGGAGTTTTCTATGTTGTCTCTGTGACGCATGTGTTTTCTCTTGGTAATCCAGATTCTTTCATAGACTAGTGGCATCCTTTTATTTCCCATGGTTTGGAAATATGTGCGTTTGTGCCTTGTGAAGGGCTAGCATCTTGTCTGAGGTGCACCCCTGCCTCGTGCCCTACGCTGCCTGGGATTGGCTCCAGGCGGAACCTGTGATCTTGTGCTGGAAAAGTGATTGGATGACGGATGGAGATATTATTTTTAGACATGTGTCTGGTTGTTTCACACGAAGCAGATAAATGAAAGTATTGTCAAAGTTTTCATGTGTATGTCCCTTACCGTCAGTTGAGCTTTAACTTTAACATAGCAATGAACTTCTTTTATGTGATTTTGATCTTGGTAAAGGCAGGGACACGCCCTAAATAGATTGCCCATCCATCTCAGAACATACACACACACACACTCTCTCATATCTTTGTGGGGATCTTTCGTTCATTTCTATGGGCAACACCCTAATCCCAGTAATGACAATCCTTAACCCCTACCTAGCCCTAAACTTAAATATAAGCAACCAAACAGAACACAAGATGTTTGGCATTTTTAGTTTTTTGATTGCAGTCACAAATGTTTATAAACCTGAGTTTTCCCTTGTGAAGGCCATAAGAATGTCCCTGCAAGGTCAAAATAATGGTTTTTATCACAATGTGGGGAAATTTGGTACCCACAATGTAATATGTGTATGACCACATAACAGAGTGGTTGTTCTGTCCTGAAACCGTAAAGCTGGAAATTTTTAAACGTAGTATGCATTTTATAAAATGTTGAATAAATAGAAGTCGTTTATTGGTGATTTCATGTTGGTCGAAGTTTCCGCTTTTTAACAACTGTATATGGTTATTTTCTATACAAATAAGCTCAGGTGAAACAAAAAAATGTACGTGTTCATGGTTGCAATTAAACTCTTTCAGGCTCTTACGCAAGAAATCTTACGGCAAATCTATATTCCATTCTGAACTTAAAATTAGCTGCATCAAAAACGTTACGGCAGTTTGCAAACCCTACAGACTATTTACAAGGTAATAAAACTTACATACATGTAAATGTGTGCGCAGAACAGAGAACAGAAAATCTCACTCCATGAAGCTGACCAAAGTTGCCAACCCTGCATTTTATGTTAAATGAGAAGTAAAATGCAGTTTTCGACTGAAGCAGCTTATCATTTCTTTGCTTTGTT